TGGCAATGTTCAGTGAAAATGTATTTGAAATTTTTCCTCGTTTCTTATCCAATTAATTGGGTTGCTGCTAGTATATATAGAGCAAAGTTGGCCTGTAGCTGTCTCTAGGGAGTTCACAAGTCTCCTATTGTGCCTTTCCTTTAGCACATTTCCTCTGTAACTCTTCATTCCACTGCTGCAAATGAAAAAAAAATGTGCACAAAGAACTCAGAGAGGAGATTATTTGATTCAGTTCATAGCTACACTGGAGATGGGAAGATGAACTTTGCTTCTACTTCAATATGTTAACTATAAAGCCATTGAAGGTCTTTTACCCTATAAGCTTTGCAGGGCAGGGACTGTCATTTTCTCCATCCAGTAGAGCTGGTTGAAAATGTTCTCTCAAAACTATTTTTGCCTGGATAATTTGTTTTTTGGCTAAACACTTTTTTTTTTCTTTTTTTTTTTTTTGCCAGAGGCATCTGTTTTCAATGGAAATTTTCAATTTCTCATCCAAAAACGGAGTGGCAAAAAGCCAAAATATTTCATCCCAAATTCAAAATATTTATCTTCTGAAATGCTGTCACAGTTCCTCATGGGAATTATATTTTAAGTGCCTAACACTCCTGTTCTCCTTTAACTACTCGCTAATTCTGCAATTCTTCACAAAACAGTAAATAAAAAAACTGGTACCCTGTAGTTTAGAGGTCAGAATGCAATTTGTCTTCAGTATATTACATCTTTAACGTCAAATTTAAATTTCCATCTGTAGTATATGTTCCCATGAATATAATGGGGACCCTTTCTTTTAAAGCTGACTTCTAACTTCTTTGTTTGAATAGTTTTCATTCCATGTGCATGCTTTTTGGATATCACAAAAAATTGTGCATACATCTCTATCATGACAGAGCTGGGAGTAAATAAACCTATTGTAAACAAAACTGACCCCCATAACTTGTTGAACAGAATAGGATGCGAACTAGAGCATGTTACTAAAATCCTCTACTCCTGAAGCATATGCTTCTGAGAAAACCACCCTAAAAGCAAAAGCAGTCGACATTGTCCAATCAACTCACTTTATCACAGAGATGGTTATTTTGCTAGAATAATGCAGTGGGTAACAGTCTATAATCAAATCAATATGATGGAGACTAATCTGGCTACAATTACTTAAGAGAGAGATCGAGGGGTCATTGTGGACAGTTCTCTGAAAACATCCACTCAGTGTTCAGCAGCAGTCAAAAGAGCAAATACAATATTAGGAGTCATTAAAAAAGGGATAGAGAATAAAACAGAAAATATTTTATTGCCTCTGTATAAAACCATGGTATACCCTCATCTTGAATACTTTGTACAGATGTACCTTATCTTAAAAAAGATATATTGGCATTGGAAAATGTTCAGAAAAGGGCAACAAAATGATTAGGGGTTTGGAATGGGACCCATATGAAGAGAGATTAAAAAGACTTGGACTTTTCATCTTAGAAAAGAGGAGACTAAGGGGGAATATGATAAAGGTCTATAAAATCATGACTGGTATGGAAAAAGTAAATAAGTAAAAGTTATTTACTTATTCCCACAATAAAAGAAATAGGGGTCACCAAATGAAATTAATAGGCAGCAGGTTTAAAACAAAGGGAAGTTTTTCTTCACTCAGCGCATATACAACCTGTGGAACTCCTTGAGGGTATGTCTACACTACAAAATTAATTTGAACTAACAGCCGTTAGTTCAAATTAACTTTAATAGCATCTATACATACAAACCGCTAGTTCGAATTTAATTCAAATTTAATTCGAACTAGCGGAGCGCTTAATTTGAACTAAGTAAACCTCATTCTACAAGGACTAACGCCTAGTTCAAATTAAGTAGTTCGAATTAAGGGCTGTGTAGCCACTTAATTCAAAATAGTTGGAGGCTAGCCCTTCCCAGGTTGCCCTGGTAGCCACTCTGGGCCAAACCAGGGAATCTTTTCTGCCCCCCTCTCGGCCCCAGAGCCCTTAAAGGGGCACGGTCTGGCTACAGTGCTCGTGCCAGTTGCAAGCCTGCCAGCACTCAGCCAGCAGACCCTGCACCTGGCACAGCGTGAGCCAGCCACCTGCTGCCACCCAGCCCTCCGCCTCTTCCCAGGACTAGGCTGGTGGCTCCCAGAAGCCTGCCCGGGTCCGCAAGAGGCGGGCGCCTGCCTGGTCCAGTGTGGAGATCATAGACCTCATCGAGGTTTGGAGGGAGGCCTCCAACATCCACGACCTCCACACTAGGCACAGGAATGCAGCCATCTAGGGCAGGATAACTGCCATCCTGGCCACCAAAGGCCACATGTGAACCCAGGAGCAGGTGTGCATGAAAATCAAGTTGGTCCAGTGAGACCCCCGACCCTGAGCTTAGAACATAAGGACATAAGAACGGCCGTACTTGGTCAGACCAAAGGTGCATCTATCCTAGTAGCCTGTCTGCTGACAGTGGCCAGCACCAGGTACCCTGACCAAGCGATTTGTCTCGTTCCATCCACCTCCAGCCTTCCACAAACAGAGGCCAGGGACACCGTTCCTACCCCCTGGCTAATAACATTCCATGGGCCCAACCTCCATGAATGTATCTAACTTCTCTTTAAACTCTGTTATACTTCTAGCCTTCACAGCCTCCTGTGGCAAGGAGTTCCACAGGTTGACTATGTGCTGTGTGAAGAAGAACTTTCGCTTATTAGTTTTAAACCTGCTGTCCATTCATTTCATTTGGTGTCCTCTGGTCCTTCTATCATGGGAAATAATGAAGAACTTTTCTTTATTCACCCTCTCCACACCACTCATGCTTTTATAGACCTCTATCATATCCCCCCTTAGTCTCCTCTTTTATAAGCTGAAAAGTCCCAGTCTCTTTAGCTTCTCTTCATATAGGACCTCTTCCAAACCCCTGATCATTGTAGTTGCCCTTTTCATAACTCTTTCCAATGCCAAAATATCTTTTTTGTGGAGAGGAGACATCTGTACACATTACTGAAGATATGGCATACCATAGTTTTATACATCCCCTCCTCCTTCTTCCTCTAGCTTCCCCCTTCCAGCTCCCTCCTCCCAGGTTTCCTCCTCCTCTCTTCCACCCTCTCTCTTCCCCTCTCCCACCTCCTTTTCCCAATCTCCCCAGAGGTTAATTCCCCCCTCCCTCCAGTTTTGTTAAATAACGAGAGTTTCTATTTTTGAACACATGTCCTTTATTTTTTACATCAGGAAGGGGGGCTAGGGAGGGGTAAGTGGAAGGAGGCTAGGGAGGAATGGGGCACAAGCCCCTGATGGAGAGGACTGGGGTAGCTCTGTGGGCTCCTCATGGTGGAAGCTCTTCTGCAGGGCCTCCTGGATCCTGACAGCCCCCCGATTGACCCCCTGAATTGCAGTCTGTGGCAAGTGCAGCCGGGCTGATGGCTGAGTGTTGTGATGTGCCGAGTGTGGGCGCTCAGGGCACTCCAAGCCAGGACTGCTTTGCTGTCCCTCATCGAGGTAGACAAGCAAGCAGGGAACCCTGAGAACTGTCTGTCCGGGGTGGGGGTCCGGTCCCTTTAGCACAGCCCTCGGCTAGCCTGAGGCAGCATCTCCACACTCTAAGTCCTAACCTGATGCCCTGCCGGCACTGGTTCTAGCCATCCTTAACTTCGGTTCAGGGTCCGCTCAATGTGGACATGCTAGTTTGAATTAGCAAAACACTAATTTGAATTAGTTTTTAGATCTAGAAGCACTAATTCGAATTAGCTTAGTTCGAATTAACTCATTCAAATTGTTCATTCGAATTAGTGCTGTAGTGTAGACATACCCGCTGCCAGAGGATGCAATGAAGGCTAGAACTTTAACAGGATTCAAAAAGGAGCTAGATAGATTCATGGAGATTAGATCCATCAATGGCTATTAGCCAGGATGGATAGGAATGGTATCCCTAGCCTCTGTTTCTCTGGATATGGGTGACAGGGGAGGGATCATGTGAGGATTACCTATTGTGATCCTTCCCTCTGGGGCATCTGGTATTGGCAGACAGGATACTGGGCAAGATGGACGTTTGGGCTGACCCAGTATGGCCGTTCTTATGTTCTTAACAGCAGTGGAACAAAGATGCTAGATGGAAACTAAACAGATAATCAGATCAACACTATTGTGGACTTTGCAGAAAATGATCCCAAAGTACCAGCAGTATCTTGTAGTTTATCAATGATTGGAAACATTCATTTTATTGGGGCTGTATGGTTGTGGGGGGCTAGTTAACTCTCTCCTGGCATTTCCGTCCAGCAGCCCTTCCAGGAGTTCTCAAATTTGATCATACATACAGAAATACAGTTTTATATGAAAATATGACATCAAGTTTTCCTAGTGCACTAAGGTTTCCAGGGGGAACATATTCAGGAAATCAAGTGCATTTTGTCTGTAATGTAGTCTTCAGTTGACTTTGATACAGACTTTTATAGTAAGTAGAGTAAAATAAATCAGAAAACAAGAATTAATGCAGGTTAATTGCATCATCTAATGGAGAATCAAATAAGAATTCATTAGGAACAAATAAGCTGAAAATGTGTTTTGTTTCATTGTTAGCTATGAAACAAATATGTAAACATGTGGATAACTTTTCCTATGTGAGCAGTCCCATCAAAATCAGTCACCCACAGATTCAAAGTAACACTCACCCAGGCGAGGTGTCTGCCTCTTTGGCAATAACAAAATTGTTAATTACCATTTTCAGTAGCATTTGGCATATAAGCTAAGGCAACTTTGTCTAGACAACAGAATATTAAAGGCTACTAATACAGCTTGTTTTTTTTTTCTCATTATATAATTTAAACAGCACTATAAAGCAAAATTATTTTAAAAATTGCTTTTGGTCTTTGCTAGTCCATCCTGATGTTTCCAGACAATTTCATGAACTATTTTTATAAACATGAGTCAGAGGGCAGTGGAAGAACTTCTGTCTATTTACTTTTACATTTACATATTAGTTCCTCTCCTCCCTTGGGAACTTGACATCTGGGAAATAATTGACTTTAGTCACGTTTTCAGCTGAATGGGGAAAGGATACACATTTTTAGCCTAGCCAATACAGCAGTGGTCACCAACCAGTAGATCGGGATCTACCAGTAGATCTTGGAGCCTCTGACAGGTGATACTAACTGGTTTGGTCAGGAATCCATCAAGCTCTGGCACTTCAGTTGCCCCTTCACCCGCTGTCATGCTGCTCCTGCCCTCTGCCTTGGAGCTGCCCCCTTCGGACCCTCCCGTTTGCTATGCAGCCAACCAGTAGATCGGAATCTACTGGATCTACAGGATCACCCATATTCAGGGTGGGGGAGTGAGAAGAGGGGCACTGATGTCAGGGTGTTCCCCCTCCCCCCCACTTCTGTACTTTATCTCCACACAGAGAGAAGGGGCTGGAGGGAGATTGGCAATGTAAATCTCTGTCACTTTCACACAGTGTGTGTGTCTCTGTCATTCTCACACACACTGTCCTTCACTCTCATCTCCCAACCCAACATATAGGTGGGGGATTGTTGTTACATCTCTTACAGCTTGCAAAGTTTGTTACTTTGGGCTTTTTACTGGTCTGTGCATTTCATACTTTTCATTCCTCTCTTACGCTTAAATTTAATTTTTTGAGTAGTTAGTCCTAAAATAGCTAATCTGTCATGGCTAGATTAATTATCCTTACTGTAATTACTGCTCCTGGAAGTGGCTGGCATGTCCCTGCAGTCCCTGAGAAAGGCAGAGCAGGGGGTTTCCACACGCTGTCCTTGCCTGCCGACACCACTCCTGCAGCTCCTATTGATCAATAACAGGGAGCCGTGGCCAGTAGAAGCTGTGGGCTCAGTGCCTGTAGATGAGAGGCAGCACATGGCACCATGGAACCATTGCTGTACATGCCAGCTGCTTTCAGGTGTGGTGCAGGGCCAGGGCAGGAGGAAGCCTGCCTTAACCCCACTGATCCACCACCTGGAAACAGTCTCATTTAAATGGTGCCCAGCTAAAGCTCGCTTCCTAAAATCCTGTACCACCCCTGAACTTCTTTCTGTACCCAGCCTCCTGCCTAGTCATGAGTTCCCCTGCACACAAACTCCTTCCCAGAGCTTGCACCTTGAAACCCCTCCAGGACCCCAATCCCTCACCCTGGGCTAAACCTGGAGCCCCTTCCACACTCCAAACTCTTTGATCCAAGACCAGAGCCTGCATCTCAAAGCCTTACCCGATGGAGTGAGCAAAGTGAGGCCTCGGAGAAGGGGTGAAACAGGGCAAGGCCTCAAAGAAGAGGCAGGAAGGAAGAGGGGCAAGGGTATTTGGGTTTGAGGTAGATCTTATATTGCACTTAAATAATCGCCACTTCATTTAAATTTAAATGGCTTTGTGGGGTAAACCTTATCCCACAAAGCATCCCAAGGAGGTCGACAAATGCCTTTGATGTTGACCGCGGAGCGTCTAGACTACTGTGCTAAGCCGGCAAACAGCTGATTGATTAGCTCAGCGCGGCAGCCATTTAAATTTAAATGAAGCAGTGATTATTTAAATCGCCACTTCATTTTCCTATGCCTGGTAGCCTAATCTACATGCCTCTGACGACAGAGGCATGTAGTCTAGACATACCCTTGGGCCAGTATGGAACTGTATTGATGTCTGTAGGGCCTACATGTTGGTAAGCCAGGTGATAGCACATATTTTTTCAGATAATTAATTTGACTATTGGTATCGCTTTTCCTTTGTGCAGCCTATTACTGAAGTGTAGCGTTTTTAAATCCTATTTATTTTCTACAGGTGTCAAAATCAGCTATTTTAATTAATGCCAAACATTTAAAAGATCATTTAAAAGGCAAGTAATCACAATTCAGGGAATTACAGTTATCACAGTGGAGGTTGTTTTAGTTCTTTGTCTAGAATTTTTACTTCTGTTTAGCTGAATTTCCATTTACCAAGTCCACATCTATGTAGATATTCCATGCAAAACTTCCCATGAATTTTTCATCTTGTGCCACCTTTGCTTAATCCCATCTTTTGTTGAAGGTGTTGCTGTGCTTCATCATTTTCTCATTGCAAATGGCCTTTTAGATTGATAATCCTTTGCAAATATGTATGTTTACTGAATTATGACAGATGTGTACTGACATTTTCTACAGATAGCTTACTTAAACATAATCATTCACTCTGTATTGTAAGGAAATAATCAGTGAAAAGTAATAGATGAGAGCAATTTGCAATAACGATGGATGAGTAAGGCATTTTTATTTTGTTACCATAATATTCAACCAAGCAAGGCTCTCTTTTTTTTAACTGAAAATCACCCCTGCATTAATTTGTTATAACCTTGACACATTATTGATTTTCAGGAAATAGACTAGCAGTAGAGAAGTGTGTTTGGAATAGTTTACCTAATATGATATATCTAAATGCTTTTCGAAACCATGGGTAGAAAAACCCATATATTAAGGGATTACAGGTAGAGTTAAAATATCCACACCATGTAAAAGCATCAAACAACATTGCAGGAGTAGAGAAATTTAAAAATGGGTCAATTAAGACTGTGAAGAAACATGGAAGCCAACATACTAGAAAGACCCCCATGACTATACTCAGAGTTTTAGCAGCCTTCCTATCTTTATTCTTCAAAAGTTGATTTGGCTTTTCATCATTTGCATATTTAGGAATGTTGCTCATAACAAGTGCATGCTTTTTGGATACTACAAAAATTTTGACATAAATTCCTATCATTACACAGCCAGGAATGAAGAAGCCAAGTGTAAACAAAATTGTTCCCCATAATTTATTAAACATAACCGGACAGGAGTTAGAGCATGCAACTAAAATCTCATAGCCCTCTATTCCTGAAGCATATGCTTCTGAGAAAACCACCCCAAAAGCAAAGGCAGCTGGTACTGCCCAACAAACTGCTACCATTCGCTTTATCACAGAGATGGTTATTTTGCTAGAATAATGCAGTGGATAACAGATAGCATAAAATCGATCAACAGCAATGGAACAAAGATGGAAGATGGAAACTAAACAAAGCATTAGATCAAAACTATAGTGGACTTTGCAGAAAGTGATTCCAAAGTACCAGCAGTTCTCCACAGATCTGACCATGCTGTAGGGCATAATGGTGAATCCCAGAAAAAAGTCTGCGACAGCCATGGATAGGATCAGGAAGTTGGTTGGAGTGTGAAGCTGTTTGAAATAGGAGATTGAAATGATTATGGCAAGATTCCCAAAGATGGTGATGAAGATGGCTCCAGTCATGGATAAATACATTGCACCTCGAACACCTGATGATCTGAATCCTTCAGGGCATGATCCATTTCCAAATTCAGAGCAATCAATCAAGTCTTTGGAGATATTGTGAAAAGCCATAATCCTTTATCAGATATTTTCCTATTAAAATAGACAATGTGCAGTTTTAATATTTATGCATTTCTAATGGACTTCAACTCCTAGCAGAGAGTATAACAAACTTAGCTGGAAGTAATCATTAAAATTGTTTAAACTTATCGGTGAAATTCTGGTTCCATTGAAATCAAACACAAAACTCTCATTGATTTCAGTGGGGCCAGGTCGCTAAAGTAACTTTCATGGGTTGACTCTGGAATCTGTGCGAATCATTTAAAAATGTTAAAAGCTCATATTTTTTCAGATAATTAATTTGACTATTGGAATCACTTTTCCTTTGTGCAGCCTATTACTGAAGTGCAGCGTTTTTAAATCCTATTTATTTTCTACAGGTGTCAAAATCAGCTATTTTAAGTAATGCCAAACATTTAAAAGAGAGGCAGGGAATCACAATTCAGGGAATTACAGTTATCACAGTGGAGGTTGTTTTAGTTCTTTGTCTAGAATTTTTACTTCTGTTTAGCTGAATTTCCATTTTTTTTTTCATTCTTTGAGTCACTTTGTAAGAAAAATTCTCCCACGTGAACTATTTCTTCTCCTAGGCTCCCACTGCACAGAAGTGATAATGGTTTTCCTCAAATCACAGTCTGAGAGCTGCTATTAAAAAAAAAAAAAAAAGACTATTACAGAGTAAGCCTGTTCAGTAAGGGAATTTTTGTGCCCAGTTCACAATTCCCAAGTGTCCTTTGAGAAGTCAGATAATGAGTTACACTCCACAAATACTGCTTTTACAATGTCACAAATCCACAACTCCACTCTCTGCCTTTTAGCTATTCTTGCTGATGCTAAGCTCGCAGGCTGTGGATGATAATGTACCCACCATGAACATTCGTTACTAAAAACAAAACCAAGAAAGCATATGACGACAAATATTCCTACCTTTATTTTCTCCTCAAGTGCACCAGTTTTGAACTATTGTAACTCTACTGATTGAAATAGGGTCACTTTTCATTTACTCTGGTATAAGTGAGAGGTGACTCAAACCCAGTGAATCAGCCATTTCAAAACAGAACTTAAAATAAAATGTACGTAATTACTTAAAGTTTATGTTCACTCTTATTTACACTGTTAGTCAGCTTTCAGCTTCATCTCTGGAGAAATCTGGAGACTGTTAACCAAACAAATGCTGAGAGATATAAATACAGTATCTGTCCACCACCTGCAAAGGGCTAATATTATTATAATAATATATCAATCCTTTCTTTAAAAAAACCCCACAGCATGTTGGGTTTTTTCCACTGCAGATATGTGCTTATGTAGCATGAGAAGGCAAATTCTATTTTTTTCCCTCTGTAGTGTCTGATCCAAATCCCATGGAAATGAAGGAAAATCTCCCTTTGATTTCAACAAGAGAGAGATTAAGTCCTTAATTTTCTTTGTGAAAACACAGCCTCGCCTTTTCTCTCCGTCTGCATGCTCTACTGGAGATCACCCTATATTATAAAAAAAATAGAAGCAGAGAGAGAGAGATCATATCTATGCTAAGTCAACCCATACGTAAAGAAGCATGTGATGTGAGGAACAGCTCAAGCCGACAGTTTCTGTCCCCACAGATATTGTTTTAAAAGTAAGAAAAGATAAACATGTGAGCTATGCAAGATTTAAAATAAATACTATAGTGTCACACATCTTTATCCTGCCCCTACCTGCATCAGGCTAGATCTCAACCATCTCTATATTCTTGAAGGATTTTTTTTTCTATTATCTTCTAGCTTTTGTGAACTATTCATGTTGAATGTGAAAGGTAGAGCTCATTGGCACCTTTGACCAGAATAACCAGGAAATGCAGGTTACTGAACTTATATGGCATTAGTCAGGTCCCAAGAGGATTTGAGCCAGATGGTTCGTTAGGAAGTTGCTGCTACAAGAGGTAAATGAAGCCAGATCCCCTGAAGAGATTGTTCTAGCCTCAGGAACAGGAACAATATCTGTGCCTGCCTCACAGACACACTCACCTATGAGAGTTGTTTTAATTATTTGGAATAGATGAAAGCCAGCATGGAAGGTAGAAAAGTGATGGAGGAAAAGCTGAGGAGTCAAGAGGAGACAGCACAATCTCTTCCTATTGTAGAGGATAATCAATTGTATCTTTGGGATAGCTGAGTAATTACCAGTCTTTTAGGGTGTGTCTAGACTACATGTCTCCGTCGACGGAGCCATGTAAAGTAGTTTACCCATCATAGTCAATGAAGCGGGGATTTAAATAATCCCCGCTTCATTAAAATAAAAATGGCTGCCACACTGTGCTGACAATCAGCGCGGCAGTCTAGACATGGATTGGTCGACAAGGGAAGCCCTTGTCGACCGCTCCCTTATGCCTCATGAAACAAGGTTTACAGGAGCGGTCGACAAAGGCTTCCCTTGTCAACCAATCCACGTCTAGACTGCCGCGCTGTGCTGGATCAGCTGATTGTTGGCACAGCGTGGCAGACATTTTTATTTTATTGAAGTGGGGATTATTTCAATCCCTGTTTCATTGACTATGTCGGGTAAACTACTTTACCTGGCTCCGTTGATGGGGCCATGTAGTCTAGACACACCCTTAGGGTAATAACAAACCTGACAAAATTACTTTCTTGCCATTTTGAATTAGATTTAATTTTCCTCTCACTTTTCCCACCATCTCTCCCATTATATTTAGTCTGAAGGCTACTGCTACACAAGAGTCCATAAAGACACCATCCACAGGAAAATCCCAATGTATTTTTGTCATGAAATGGTGGCGGTGGAGCGATGGAACTGACCAGTCAGAGACTGACACAAAATATCATAAGAAAGGGGAGAAAAAGGAAAAAGGTAAAAATATTATTACAGAAAGGGGAGAAAAAGGTAAAATTTATCATTCTGTGGGGAAAATACTGGTGTTTATGCAATATTAAAGTCAACACCTCAAGTACTACGGAAATGGACGGTTCTAGTTAAGCATTCAGACTTAACTCTACCCCCTCCTAGCCATGCCTTGAAATCCCAAGGAATACATATAAAGATTCTTATAGAACCATGTCAGGAGCATGAAGGCCATTCCTCAGTGTGGCTAGATGCAGAGCAAGGAGGAAGCAAGGCCCAGGTCCACCTACTACCCAAGGCCCCAGCCCAGGTACCCCCTGGTGGCAGCTTTGTCCTGCTCTCCCCCTCTTCTGAATCCTGTTCTTTGGCCCACTTCCCCAGTGACTCTGTATCCTCCTGGCCCTTATATCAAGGCCTACAGCCTGATAGGTATCAAGCTGGAGCCTCTCTAGCTCTGCTCCCCTTAGCCTGCCCAGCACTGCTCTATTCTAAATACTTCTCTGAGAACCAGTCCTGCACCCTCCCTGGTGAGGTCCTAACTGCCCACTGCTCTGCTGTACTTATAGCCAGAGCTGCCCCAGCAAGCTGTCTTCTAACTGGTTTCATACAAACCTCTCCCTGATTATCTAGGGCTCCTTGGAGGCTCTCTTACCCTGCTTTAATCCCTTCCCAGCAAGAGCAGGGCAGCTGCTCTACTACACCATACAATATAATTTTAGTGGCAGCCTTTTCATGAGAACTACATGCTCCACTGAATAGCGCAAGGCACCAGCTTCATTATGCCCAAACATTTTCTCCATCAAGTATGCAATTTACTTAGTTGAGTATGAGATGATAGTATCTTTATTAAGACATTGAAGATGTTTGTTTTATCAATAGCACTTTTGAATTATACAAGTGCAATACCATAATCACTTTTCTTTCTGGTAATTTTTTTTACTTGATTCCTCAGTGTAAATGTCAAACATGAGGTAGAGTTTGTCATAGGTTCAGTATTTTCTCTGTAGCATCATAATGAAGGTTTCAGCCAAATCTCAGCAAGTGTTAACAGTTTCTGGTTTATTGAGAGTTTGTCCCTCAACATAGCATCTATGATTGCTAGAATGAAAGGCTTTTGCTGATATAAGGTACTGGTCACATTGCCAGTAAGTGCTGGCTTAGAAGACTGCAAGACATGCATTAGTTTGCTTTTTGGATGGCACATATGCATTGCTCCATCAAATTTGAGCAGCAGTCATGGTACCATAGAAAACTCAACTTTTCCTAAAGTTTCAGATCAACTTCATGCTGAGATCTGGACAGGACCAGAAGTTAAGCAATTAATAACTTTTCTGCAGTTAGCACTCCTTCAATTTGTAGTAATCTGTGACGTTAAAAATGTATCAGGTGTCATGCTGTGAGCATTAACTGATAAAAGAGTGCTGTCAGTGGAGGGCTAAAATTCAACATTGTGGCTGTATCTAGACTACATGCCTCTGTCGGCAGAGGCATGTAGTTTAGACACATAGGCAAAGGCAAATGAAGCCGTGATTTAAATGATCACGGCTTCATTTACATTTACATGGCTGTTGCGCTGAGCCGACAAACAGCTGAAAAGCTGTTTGTCGGCTTGCGTGCTAGTCTGGACGTTCCCCCTGTCGACATCAAAGCCCTTTGTCGGCAGCCCCATTATTCCTCGTGGAATGAGGTTTACCGGGGCTGCCAACTGTCGGCTCAGCGCGGCAGCCATGTAAATGTAAATGAAGCCGCGATCATTTAAATCATGGCTTCATTTGCCTTTGCTGAACAAACAAATCTACATGCCTCTGCCGACAGAGGCATGTAGTTTAGACGTTCCCAGAGAGGGCTGCATGTTTGACATGCATATGTTAAATTATTTAAAACATGCTGAGTTTCAAATATTTTCTCAAATGTATAGCTACATAATTGTTCTGGGATTATCACAATTGGTATCATTATGTTCTCTGGAGAAAGGGCTTTTGAATGATACCCAATTCAACACATATCCTATGCTGCTATATCAGCAAACCTGCCACTAATCAGAGGACCTGGAGCTGAGAGCCAGGGTGGGCAGCGAGTCCCCCTGCCAGGTT